CAAAAAAAAAAAAAAAAAAAAAAAAAGACGTGCAAAATATTTACAAAATATGCAAAGCACACAATAAAGACATCTCACTATATACATGTGTCATATTACTAATGAAGCTAAGATTTTTCTACTGTGTGCTCTAGTGTACGTAAATCAAACCACAGCACATCCCTCAGATACAGCACTTTGGCCCGTGGCTGGAATAGAACAGATTTTAAATGAATCACAATATACTTAACAGCTGGACAGATGCTGGTGCTGACCAACTTGACTGACATATGCCACATACTGCATACTGAAGGCCTACTGACAAGAGACAAGACAATAAAAGCTGTATATATGCACATAGGCAAGACAATCTAAGTACTTTAGGCTTTAGATATTTTCTTTAGATATTTCTGTCCCCCATGACTCTTAAAGTAAAAATAATTATAAATTCTTGAATATTAAGTATTTTAAGTTAGATTTTTATCTGGTCCAGGGGCAGGAACTATTTAAGATGATCCAATGAGAATGACAGACACATCTTAGAAAATATTTTAGTGCCAGAACTTATTAAGGTCCTTAACGGAAAAAAGTGGTCTCAATGTCAAACTTAAAGCTAATTAATGGACTTAAGTCAATAGCTCTTTAAGGCTTTAGAGCCAATGATAGGGACTATTTTCCCAATAATTTGGGAATATGACCTCTCAAACATAAATTAGGCCCTTGGATGTTGATCATTCGTGAAGTCGTTCTAAATGTGGTGAGAATGCAAATGTGCAAACATTTAGCCTTACGTTCCACTAGTACAGCAATCTGAGTGATCTGTCCCTTTGCACAAGTCATGATTCCAATATGAAATCATCATATCAAAAATATTAGTAACACATGGTTAAAATACTATCACTTGTAAAATATTCTTTGTAGGTGCTTCATGATTATGTGTTGAATTAAGAAGACTTGAAATGTTTTTTTGTTTCTTTATAAAAAGGGGTCTCAGCATTTTAAGTTAACAGCACGATTGTGACAATATACGGATACATCTTTAGATAACACAGAACAAATTCTTAAATTTATTTTATAAAATAATGTTGATGACTTAACCCTAAACCAAACCCAGCCATACACGTTGGCTGCAAGAAATACACAAATGTATCCAAATAGTACAATATTCATCAAGAAACCATCATTTATATTAAATGCAGACCATATTAATAAGTATGAGGGCAATTTTAAGTTCAGAACCTAAACACAAAAAGGGTATTGTAATAAATGCTTCCATTACCACTATCTCCACATAACTGACAAAATATAATTCTCTTCTAAAGTCCCCAGATGTAGGCAACTACTAGTTAAAAGCAGACAGCATTTAGAAACATTAAAAAAAAAAAAAATCAAAATTAACTTCATTTTCAAGGAACTTAAAGACATTGTACTTTAAGTCCTCATTTGTATGCATTATTATTCTGATCCTCTTATTACTGATAGCTGATGGGGCAATGACCTTTAACAAGGACTTTGCACTAGGACCCTAAACTCCACTTTAAATGTTTAGCAGGTTCAGTACATTCTTTGTGGTTTCATATAATTGCTTTGCAATTGATTAAATTGCTTTCTTTGAAAGGAACATATGAACATTCCTTTAGAAAAAAAAGCAAGTTGTTGTTTTTTTTTTGAAAAAAGGGATATACAGTTATAATTTCTTAAATATGCATTAAATGAACATATGCCAAAATTTGAAATGCAGGTTATTTATTCTTGCACTCCTAACATAGGAAAATGTTAAAATTAAATTAAAGAAAAAAATGTCAGACATCCTTATCTTAAAAAACTTAAGGAGTTTTCACAATTCCTAAGTCAATATTCCTGTACTAAGAGCCTTGACTATGAAGAGGCAGGAATATAAAGAAATCTCAATAAAATAAATACAGTAAAAACAAAAAAACCCCTTGGTATATAGAACACTTCATCTTTTTTTTTCCTTTTATGAGAGCATGTTGCCGAACATAGACTCTCGAAAGGAGCCTAACCGTAGGCTTTTCCTTGTAGAACCTCTGGGCTGTGAACTAAAGCATTTCTCAGCCGCGCGCGAGGCCGCCCACGCGGCAAATCCAGCGGCAGCCTCGGGCTCCCCTCCTGCGCTCGGCCGGCCGGCCCGGCGGGGCGGGGTGAAGTCTCTGCGCTCTGCCCAGCTCCGCTCAGTGCAGCGAGGACGGGGCGTCCGTCTGAATCCCGATGAGCGAGGGCGGCTGCTGCCCGCCGACGGCGGCCAGC